TGGAGGAGGAGAGGAGGCAGCTGGATCAGAAGCAGGCCCAGGAACGGGAGAGGCAGGCCAGGAGCCGGGCCGAGCAGATCCAGAAAGACAGGTAGGAGAACCAGAACCAGAACTAGAACCACAACCACAACCACAGCTACAACCACAACTACAACCACAATCAGAACTAGAACCACAACCAGAACCAGAACCACAACTACAACCACAACTACAACCACAACCACAACTACAACCAGACCCAGAACCAGAACCGCAGCAGCTCACCCGTCACCTGTTGTGTGTCTGCAGGATCCAGCAGCAGCAGAGAGAAGCAGAACAGCGACAGAAGGAGGAGCAGCAGAGACAGGTGGGTGGAGGTCGTCCACAGTTTACTGTTCACACGTTAAATCACACAAAGTCAGGATTCATTTACCTGCTCACCAAAAAACCAGGTCAGAGCTGTAAAGGATGTAGTTTACACTAAATGTACACTTTCACAGAAAGAAACTATTTTAATCTTTTTTTTTTTAAATGTCCAAAAACTGTAAATAATGTCCACTTATCACAAATATATATTTTCATAATAATAATTTGTACCTTTGCAATGCTAAACCATAAAATTAAACAGTTTTTACCCATTTAAATCAGAAAAAATATACATTATATAAGATATTTTGTGGTTTTGTTTTTTTTTTCAAACTTTACGGTGCACCACTTGTTCATGTATTTTATTATTATTATTTTGAGAGCTTGTTGTTCCTCACAACGCTGCCCAGAAGCCGTCAGGTGAAGCAGATAATTCTGAAGGTGAACGTGGAGAAACTAAACTAAACCATTAAAGCCAGCGTGACGTTTGTGTTCCAGAACCAGGTGGAAACCAGTAAAAAGGTGACGGGAATCAACGCGGCTGCTTCCGTCCAGAAAGCCAACGTGAGTCTCACAAACATATATAATTACCTGATTTTTGTCATCAGTTTTCATCATTTCAGTGTTTCTGGCGTTTTCTCGTTTGACTTCCTGGTCAGCACTACATTACCCATAAGCCTCAGCCGCTGTTGCCACGGTGACGAATCCAAAACAACCACAAAGCAGAGAATAGATTAATCTAAGCAGTCCGTTTTCTTTTTGGCAGCATCTTTTTTGCTCATCTGACAGAATTTGAAGCTCTGTGATTGGACGTTTTTACCAAACTGCACCATGGGAGATGTAGTTTCTGTTTAGTTTTTAGCTCTGTAAGCTGGAAACTTTGATGTTAAATCATGGAAGCAGTTATTTTACAGCTCAGAGTTTACTGTGCACATCCTAGAAACACATTCCCACAATAAATAAAATGATTTAATGCTTCAGATGAGCTATTCACATTATTTTAAAGGCCAGTCGACACGAGAAAGTTGCTTTAACTTCATATACATTTGATTTTAACTCAGATTTCTGCATTAGTTGAGG